CAATAGCATTTAATAAAACCTAATTAATTTTACCTATGTGGCAATTTAATACTTTTTCCTCCAAAAACCGTTACTTTTTTATGTATTTAATCTTTCGTTTAATTATTAAATAATCAATACTAATCACTTCAAAATTACAAAAATCATTTTAAGCTTTTTATTAGTGACAGCTGACCATATAATGTGTTGATCGTACAATGTGATTAGATGTTATTATAGGGTGTATTAATATGAAAGGCAAAATATGAATGACAAATTTTGTAACTTCTTTTGGAGGGAAAATAAATGAGGTTATATTAATTAGGTTTTATAAGTACATGATTACACTTAATTAGGTTTTATGAATGATATTATTATTATTATTATTATTATTATTATTATTATTATTTTAATTTTGTATTTCATGAAACAATTTTCTTTAGAAACAATTAGTAAATAGTTTTAATAGTATAGTAAAAAAAACTTTAAAATCTTATAAACAATTTTCGTTGTAATAATAATAATAATAATAATAATAATAATAATAATAATAATAATAATAATAATAATAATAATAATAATAAAGTTTTCAAGTAAATTATTTGACCATGATCCCTCTAAATTATAAAAATTACATTTCCCACAATTTTTTTTAATCAATATAGTGATTCCTATGTACTCAAATAATTTATATAAATATTATTTTATTTTTACTAATGATTAAATCTTGAAAATGTGGTATGTCCATATCTAGAATTTAATTATTAAATTCACATATCTTGAAAATGTGATATGTTTATTATCTAGAATTTTAATATTAAATTCACATATCTTGAAAATGTGATATGTTTATCATCTATAATTTTAATATTAAATTCACATATATTACTTACAATATTTTATGTACATCTGTGCATGTGCAGAGGATGATAACTAGTATATATTGAAGACCTAAGTGCGGTTCGAGATGGAGTTGGAATTTTTGGGGAGCAAAATCGGCATCATGTGCCTTTTACTATGCAGAACACTTTAAGTGCGGTTCGAGAGGGAGTTGGAATTTTTGGGGGGCAAAATTGGCATCATGTGTGTACACAATTCATTCAATCATTCATGGGAAATAATGTTTGTATAAATTGTGCAAGGGATGCTTGAATATAAAAAATCATTGGTTTGCTCATGTTAATTTTGAAAAGTATGGTATGGCCAGTTGTTAGTGGCTTACGGACTGCCCGGCCCGCCGAACCGGCCCTGACCCGGCACGAACCCCGCTCAAACCCTGCATGGTCAAACCTGTTGACCACAGGTCTGAGCGCGATCGAATTTTCGACGAACCGTTTCAGGGTCATTATTTCATGACCCTGGCCCGGCATCCGGGCCGATGACCATTTTTTATTTTAATTTTTTTATATATTATTCTATATTTTTTTTTAAAAAAAATTACGACCCGACCCGGTCAAATGGGTCATGTGCCCGGCATGAGCATAGGTTTGTGCCAGTTGAGGGTTCATGAAATCCAACCTGGAGGTTCGGCGGGCTGGCCGGGTCGTGACTCGGCCCGGGTTTTAATCATGTCTATTAGTGAGTATATTATTTTTGGCCTGGGTCTTGGTCATGTCTATTAGTGTGTATATTAAAATTATATTTAAAATAAAATAATTACAGTTGATTTGATGTAAAATAAGAGACAGATGATTTGAAGTGATAATTAATTAAATTATGCGAG